CAATTGTCATTTCCTTCCTCTGGTATGTTTTTGTTATATTCATGTAGCTGCTGAATAATTAGGAGTTGTGTTTTTGTCTAACGTTTTAGAAATGTGTTTCTTGCCATTATATATTTGAGGTAACAACTATGCAAACCAAAAGGTGTTTGTGGATCTTCCAGAAGTCATTCTACAACCAGTATGTATTTTGAAAGTCTAACATTTTGCCTTCTTGGTGCTTGCAGTGCAAATTTGGGGAAAAAGAAGCAAAATATGTATTACATATTTTACATTTACATACATTTACAAGTTGCACAATTAACACCAACATATCTCATTTTTCACCCAATGTAGGAGTATTTTATACAGCACTGCTCCTGTGGTGCTGCCAGTGTCTTGCTCAGCTCATACCGAGAAATGAAAAATTATTTTCCTGGTTGGAACAAACTGAACAGCTTACTTATTCAGAACGGAAATATATCTGACCTCTCTGTTATTCCGGAAACAGGAGGAATCAGTGAAAAAATCAAGCAAAGGTGAGTTGCTGCTTTTAAATCACAACTTTCATTTAAAGGGCTCATTATGAAATAGGTGTTTTTATGACCACTTGGAGCCATACACCTTAGACTGCTGGACCAGTGCTTCTGAGATGGGCAAATTGCTTTCCATCTGTGATGTACATAGCGGCCTTTTAAAGAATATACCTCTGAGAAAATAAGAACTGTACTTAAAAACATCGCTTGTTTTTAAGTGCAATTTATCATTTTTAAATCACAAATTCCCTAGGAATCATATAGTAATCAGAACAGTGAAACAGAAATGAAAAAACTGAATGCATTTTCATTTGCCTTCTATGTTTGATAGTTTTGCAGGTTAAATATTCTTCCAAATTGATCACTGTCAGCTGGTTATCTCTACCCACCTCCCCAAACCTACGATGGGTGAATAGTTCCAATATTCTGGCATTACAAAATTCCAAAATGCCTAACTGGGCAATGCTGGGTATATACGTTGGTATAAAATCAAATAAACACATACACAGGTAGAACCTGGTATCCCACCTAGGCCTAAAATAGCTTTGAAGTGAGTCCTGTCAAAATTGCCTCTATATTGCTCGGAGGGTATGAGGCTCTTTTTCAGTTAAAAATATATAATAATAATAATAATAATAATAATAATAATAATAATAATAATATAATAAAACTTTATTTTTATTCTGCACTATCTCCCCGGAAGGACTCAGGGCAGATTCCAAACATAAAAGGCAAACATTCAATGCCTGAACATAATAATAATACACCCATAATAACAAAAATTGACAGTTCAACATATAAAAGCAAATTATTACTTAAGAAGTAAAATTAAATGAAAAATGCAACTTATTATTAATTCAGCAGGAAAAAGAAGTCAAAAAACACAAAGCTGATTTTCATGTTCTGAGATAATTACCTAAATTTGTTATTGTCAGCCATTGAGGTATAGAAGACAGGATTCTGCATTTTAAGAAAACATGATTCATCCAAAAATGTCCATGTTTATAGTTTCTATTTTTTAACTTCTTAAATTCTTCAATGATTTTTTTCTGCTTACATTATTTTTTATTGTTTTATATTGGTTTAATCTGCTGAAATTAATCTTACGTGTACACCATCCTGAGATATTGTGATATGGAATAGGCTATAAAATATGTTATGCCTGCATATGCAACCAACAGGTTTCCAGCCAACATTTCCTGTTCATTCCGTGTTGCTGTTAACATTGTTAGGCACAATGCATTTATTAAATAAACAGATTTAAATTCTCTGAAATCAGGAATTTGATCTCTGCTCATTTTTGCCTTGAAGAATAC